GGGGGGTTGGATAGAGGGTGGGGTCCTGGGGGTGGTAATGGATGGGGGGGTCCCGGGAGGGGGTGGTTAGGGGACAAGGAGCAAGGGGTGTTAGATGGGTCAGAGGTTCTGAGGGGGGCAGCCAGGGGCAGGAAGTGGGAGGGGACAGATGGGGGCGGGGGCCAGGCTGTTTGGGGAGGCACAGCCTTCCCTACCTGGCCCTCCATACAGTTTTGCAACCCCAATGTGGCCCTTGGACCAAAAAGTTTGCCCTCCCCTGCACTAGCGCCGTCTCCCCAAGGCAGGGGGCGGCTGGAGTAGCTAGTCCAATGGTGCGTCTACACTGGGCTTGGAGGTGTAATTCCCGGCTTGCGACTGCGCTAGCCCGCAGGACGTAGCGGTGTAGCCATGGTAGTGCGAGGGGCCGGGGCACCCTGAGTACAGTCCTGCCCGCCCCCCTAGGTACTTACTGGGTGCCCTGCCCTGCCCACCCTCGAGCCCCCACAGCTCCACTGTTCCTGTTAGTGCACTGGCTCAATCAGATCTGGCGTGCGAATGCCTCGGCGTGCTGCCATTACACCTTCGGCGCCAGTGTAGACGCACCCAAAGTGCCCCGCCTGATGGTTGGAGCTGGACGCAGGCTCTGCGTGTGAGCAGCGAGTGGGGCTGGCTTGGTGAGACTTCAGCAATACCCACCCCCCATCTAGGCATCTGGTCCTGCTGTGTCTCGCCCTGTTCGCAGGATGCCTGGGTCCATCTCCCCCCCTCCCCCCACGCGCCAGGCATGCATTGGCAATGGCTGGGATTTTCAAATGCGTTTATCGCTCAAGGACAAGAATCCAGCCGAAGTCCATGGGGTGGGGCGCTGAATCCACCTAGGGCAGCTCTGCACTGGACAGTGTTGGTTAGGGCTGGCTCTGTCTGGAGACCGAGCTAGACCAGGAAAGTCCTGTCTGAAGACAGTAGCACCAACAAAAGCTCTCCTATGCCAGTATAAGCTACGTCCTCACTGGGGGGGCTGGCTGGCATAGCAGTGCTGGCAAAACTTTTCTAGTGAACTGAACCTTAAATACTTCTGACCACACACACCCTTCCCATGGCTCTGGCCAGGAGGACAAGTGAGTCTCTAACAGCCTGTGGGATGGCACAGGTCTGATCCCAGCCAGCTCCCCTTCCACATAGAGCCCTCACCCCGTGCCCACGAGGCCTCGTGTACCACCACAGCCAGCCTGGCTCGCCACAGGCCAGTCGTGAGCACTCTGAAAAGGCAGCCGGCCGCCTGCCACGTGCACTTGGGCGCTTGCTGGCCAAGACTCGGCTGCCATCGCTTCCAACAGGAGCGTGTGCACCGGTGACTCTTTGGTGGGGGCAGGGGAAAGGCAGCTACCACCTGATTAACACGGCCTCTCTGACCTCCCCATCCCCAGGGTGTGCTCCCTGGGTGATGGTATTACAAACCCCTCCCTACACCCATCCGATCGAATGGGGAGTGGGGAAGAGGTTCGGTGGCATGGCTGGGGAGAGGAAGAAACTGTGCCCCATACCTCCCCACCCTGCTTCCCTTCCTGCAGCCATCTGGGGACCCTCCGCCACTATTTAGTGTCTGAACTAAACTGAGAGCAGGGAGTATTGACCCCGTCCTATGGTCAGGCTCCTGGGAGAAGGGCTGGGGCTAGAAGTAGCCCAGGCAGGGCTTAATTTGTGCCAGGGCCTGGCAGTCCCGGGACCTGGCACCTCTGGGCCTGGCAGTTCTGGGCCCCGGCACCTCTGGGTTTGCTGCCTTAGTTATGGAAATAAAAAATTGCTTGAGCCCCAGCTCCTCTTTCATTACAAATTAAGCCCTGGGCTCAGGGGGCTCTGTGGAGAGAGTGGTGGGAGGGGAAATAACATAATTACAGCCAGACTGGGTCAGACCAAAGGTCCATCTACCGACAGTGGCCAATGCCAGGTGCCTCAGAGAGAGTGAACCTAACAGGTAATGATCAAGTGATCTCTCTCCTGCCGTCCATCACCACCCTCTGACAAACAGAGGCTAGGGACACCATTCCTTACCCAGCCTGGCTAATAGACATTCATGGACTTAACCTCCATGAATTTATCCAGTTCTCTTTTAAACCCTCTTATAGTCCTAGCCTTCACAACCTCCTCAGGCAAGGAGTTCCACAAGTTGACTGTGCGCTGTGTGAAGAAGAACTTTTTTTATTTGTTTTAAACCTGCTGCCCATTAATTTCATTTGGTGACCCTTAGTTCTTGTATTATGGGAATAAGGAAAAGTTATTTACTTATCTTTCTCCACATCACTCATAAAAGTGACCCTGAAAAGGATGAAACGCCACGAACCAGGCTGCCAGACCAATGACCCTGGGATGCACCGAGTGCTTCCTAATACCAGCTCCTCGGTGCCTTCTTGCAATAATCCCTTAGCGTGGGTGGGAAACACATCTCCTGTGTGTGATTGCAGCTCTGCCCGGGGCTTGCTGAGCGTCGTTCACCTCTGTGCCCCGTGCGACGCTCCTCGGCAGTAGAAGGGCCTTGGCAGATGGATGGCGGTGAGCCTGGCTGGATAAAGCCCTGGGATCAGCAGTGAGCGAGGTGGTAGGAATCGAACCCGCACCCGCTAGGCCCAGCCTGCAATGATGGGGAGGGAGGAATTTTACAACTCAACGGATTTGAACGTTTTCTGACAGTCTAACTCCTGTTCTCAGGCCCGGCTCCTCCACCAGCTCTCGGCCTGGGGCGGCTCCTCCATCCCTGTGGAGAACATTGGCAGCCAGGACGATTGCGCCCCTTCCCCTGACAGACCCGTGCGGCACGCCAAGAAGCGTCTCGGCAGACTGGCGCACCTCCTGTTCGCCATCATCCCCGCCAGGTTCCAGCGTGCCCTCGGCTACCTGCCGGCAGACTGCATGGGTCAGAGCGGGATCCCTGAGGGTAAGACCGCTCTGTGACGCGGAACGAAGCAGTGGATGGGTGAGCGACCTGGAGCTGCCGAGCGTGAGGTGGCCGTGCAGCAGGCCTGGTGTATGCGTGCTGAATCGCTGCTCCTGGGGCACCTACAGTCAGGCAGAACGGCCCACGCTCCAGGGAAAAGCTCTACTTTAGGTACCCGGTGTGAGACCTGAAAGGGGCTGGACTTCCCAAGAGTTGGGGTCTTGCATTGAATACCTGCACAGAGTCACTAGGCAGCCCTTTAAAATGTTGGCCCTGACCTTCCTGGAGTGGAAGGGGAGGCATTTGGCAAGCTTGTAGTGGGAACCTTGTCACAGGTCCCACAGGGTCAGCTGGTAGACGAGTCCTGCGGGCCAGGAGCTCCCAGCAATGATCTCTGCTGTAATATCTGAATGAATCCTTGGCGATTAAACTGTGCTACCCCAACTGAGCTGGTCCAGCCCCCATGGCTGGGAGCTGCCGATCACCTTAGCACGGTTCTGCCAGCTCCTCTTCCCTGTGCCCTGCAGCACCCCTCCCTCCTGGGTAGACCACATGACAAAACGGTGTGCTGGCTTAATAGTGGTGACACTGCAAATGGGGCTAGGCTGAGGCCAGATGCTTGGCCCTTCTGCTCCAAGGTGGGATTTGAACTGACATCTGCAGATGTGAGAGGCTAGTTCCTTAAATCAGATAGTGTCCTGGCCCCAGTCCACCTTCTCCTGAACAACCACTGCTTCCTCTGGGCTGGAGGAACAGTCAGGCTAAGCTAACTGTGAGCTCAGAGGAGAGGTATCTGTTTGCTTAAAACCCTCACTGGCTCCCCTGGCTGGTACCAGGACCTACGTCCATTGCCCTGTTGCTGGCTGGATAAAGCGGCAGCTCCCCGATCACTAGCTAGGAGACTCGGTGGGTCACCCTTCCTCTTGCAGGAGGGTCTCACGGCAGAGGAGCAGAGCTGGACGTCTTAGGCAAGGCTGGCGCATCGGGCCCGTGAGTCATGCAGCTAGTGTCAGACTCACCCAGAAGACGTTCGGCTAGCTTTGCTGTTCCTGTTGCAGGGAAACACCACTGCCAGCGAATGGGACTCAACACTAAGGTGCCTAAATTATGCAAGCAAGACTCCCTTCCTTGTGTGTGAGGAAAAGTACATGGGGCATCCTTTCCTTGAGCTCTGCTTTTAATACACTAATGATCTTGGAAAGAGGGCAAGGAGTGGAGTGAGGGGGATAAAATCTGCATTAGTCTGGAGAAGACCGAGGGACCCGAACCCAGCCAGGGGAATGAATAGCACAGTGGGGGGGTGGAAGCTGGCATTGACCGATGCCGGCTGACGCATCGTTCAGATGATTCTTTTCCAATATCTGAGAGGGTCCCGAGTAACTGCAATGACTTGGGGAAGAGCCGGGTGTCACAGTGGGCAGCTCGCTACAGGTCTCTGCTGAATGTGCAGAGGCAGGGGTGGGAAAAAGTCAACTTCATCTATTCTGCCTAGGGAATAAGCTAGAGCAGTGGTTCTCCAACTTCTGTACTGGTCACCCCTTTCACATAGCAAGCCTCTGAATGCGACCTCTTCTTCCCCCTCCCCCTTATAAATTTAAAACCATTCTTTATATATTTAACACCATTGCAAATGCTGGCAGCAAAGCGGGGTTTGGGGTGGAGCCTGACAGCCCATGACCCCCCATGTAATAACCTTGTGACCCCCTCAGGGGCCCTGACCCCCAGTTTGAGAACCCCTGAGCTAGAGAGACCCTGAAAACCTTTTCTAAATCCATGCCTGTACTCCTGGCATGCTTAGAGTTCTCAGTCCCCCCGTCTTGGAGCAGAACTAGAGGGGCTTCCGAGATGAGTAACAAATGATCAGAGGCCTGGAAAGGCTTCTGTCTGAGTGACAAGATGTGGGCTGTGTAGTTTAGGGAGAAGACCGGCTATGGATGCAAAAATGAGTGATAGTGAGGTCAGTCCTGTGCTTCTATTTACCTGGCTTGTAACCAAAAACAAGGGACCATTCAATGCAATTAGGATGCAACACTTTAAAACTGGTAAATAAAACTACCTTATTTAACATTAGGTGTAACTAGCCTGTGGAACACCTTGGCCTCAATGATCTTGTGGCAATAACTCTAGAGTCTAACGAATTTCATTATCCATCATCTCGGCTCTAAACCATCGGCTCTAAACCCAATCTCTGGCTGCCTCACTTAGGAGGATGCTTTGATGCTGAAGCCGGTGGTTCTAGAACTACCCAGAAGTGGGTGTCTTGCACTTCCCTGTGGAGCAGCTAGTCCAGGCTGCTGTCCAATAGGATGCTGGATGAGATGAAGCCTGGTTTGGCAGTTTTAGTCCTCATTCCCCAGGAGCACGTCTCTCCCAGCCCTTTCCCCTACTGGGAAGAGCTATGCCACACTGCTCCATCCTCGTGGAGACTGACCACTCCTGGCTCTGACTGGTCTCCCAAAGCCAGCACAAGAGTTGGGCTAAGCCTCTGATTAAGGGGGAAGGGAACCAACAAAGGCTTCCCAAAAAGCAGGGGCCAGGGCAGGAGGGAGACTAGCTGCCAGTCCAACACTGAGCCAAGACACACCTGCGCTGTCTCTCAGCCTCGTAGCTGGGATCCAGCATCTTGAGGTCCAGCCGTCACTGGGGTGAAGCTATCCAAATATGGCTGGCCTATTAGTCACATGGCAAACCCGCTAGGCCATCCCTGGAGCTCTGGGGTCTGTGCCTGCCCTTTGGAAGGGCAGACTTGGGCAGTGGTGACCCTTGCCTCCATGTGCTGTTTGTGGCCTTCTTGCAGAGATCCAAAAAAGTCCAGTCAGGCCCTCCGGCAAAGGGAGCAAAAGGAAACAAGATGATGTCGCTCTGGAGGAGCAGCAGTCCTGGGTGGAGATCTTGCAGCAAGAGCTGCCCGAGGACGATGAGGCCGAAGACTCTACCTATGAGGTATGACGCACTTGCTGTTTGGCAGAGCTAGTCCCTGCACGCTGGGTTACGCAGAACCGTGGCGTAGCTCCAGCGCGTTAACGTGACTGCTTGCGCCCAGGATGCTACATCCCTTTCCAAGCACTGAGATCTCCCTGCTGGGGGCAAGCGGACTGCTGCAAAGCATTCAACGCCTCCAGGTGGTGGCTTATGCAATGAGTGGAATGGTGGAATCTCCTTCCTTAGAGGTTTTTAAGGTCAGGCTTGACAAAGCCCTGGCTGGGATGATTTAGTTGGGGATTGGTCCTGCTTTGAGCAGGGGGTTGGACTAGATACCTCCTGAGGTCCCTTCCAACCCTGAGATTCTATGATTCTATCAGACTGGGGCCTGGCAGGTCTGACAGCTACATCCCTTGCCTCTAAGGAAGGAGATTCCACCACCTCCCTCGGTAACCCGTTCCAGTGCTTCACCACCCTCCTAGTGAAATAGTTTTTCCTTATATCCAACCTAAACCTTCCCCACTGCAACTTGAGACCATTGCTCCTTGTTCTGTCCTCTGCCACCACTGAGAACAGTCTAGATCCATCCTCTTTGGAACCCCCTTCAGGTAGTTGAAGGCTGCTATCAAATCCCCCCTCATTCTTCTCTTCTGCAGACTAAACAATCCCAGTTCCCTCAGCCTCTCCTCATAACTCATGTGCTCCAGCCCCCTAATCATTTTTGTTGCCCTTCGCTGGACTCTTTCCAATTTTTCCACATCCTTCTTGTAGCGTGGGGCCCAAAACTGGACATACTACTCCAGGTGTGGCCTCACCAGTGCCGAATAGAGGGGAATGATCACATCCCTCGATCTGCTGGCAATGCCCCTACTTATACAGCCCAATATGCCACTGGCCTTCTTGGCCACAAGGGCACACTGCTGACTTCTATCCAGCTTCTTGTCCACTGTAACCCCCAGGTCCTTTTCTGCAGAACTGCTGCCTAGCCACTCGGTCCCTGGAAGCACAAAGGGCAATTAGTCAATGCCCCTCAAAAGCCAAAGGGACTTGAGTGCCTAACTGCCCTTTGCCTCCTTCCCAGTCGTCATCCCCTTTGAAGGGAGTCTGCCCCCTTTGCCGCGTCTGTGCGGAGAGCAATGGGCTCCTGCTGGGGCATTGTCCTCTGCTCTAGGCCTTGCTGCGGCTCCTCTTCCTGGATGTGGTTTGGCACAAAGCTTGTGTCCTCACCAGCACGGGCCTCCTTCCCTCTCGCAGCCAACGCGATCGGAGACGGACAGCGAGGAGTACAGGTCTCAAAACGAGACAGAGACCGACCTGGAGTTTGAAGAGAAAGACGGGGTCCTGGTGCTGATGGAATCGCAGAGTCTGCAGGTAAGTGAGCCCTTCTCGACGGCCATAGGATCACGCAAGGGGGCAAGCAAGGCCCCTTGTGTAGGGACTCTGCAAGCGTCCGTGTGATTAACAGGCAACTGGGCTGCAGCTCTGAATTATCTTGCCTTCTGCTTAGCTGTGGGAGAGTCTAATGATGGCACTGGACCAAAGCATGGATCCTCCTAACCCTGATTACCAGTTCACCAAAGTAAACCAAGCAAGATGAGGGTTTATGGGGCCAGGAGTAGCTGAAACGAGCCAGTTCTCTGGAGCTGTTCCAGCTGCTGGTTTATCTGTTTCAACGGGCGGGGGAGGCATAATCTCCTCTCTAAGCGCGAAGCTTTAGGGTGGGTTTAGACTGACTCTCCTGAGCCCCGGGTGCAAACCCCAGTGTTGATGTAACTGCCCGGTTCTTGGTGCCGGCTCCACTCTGAACTGCCCGACTGTGTGCCCTGGACTCTGCAGGGGACTCCGACTGGCGAGAACATGCCGGCTGCAGCGAGCGGCGGTGGTGGGGACGCCCTGGAGCAGCCGGCTGCAGCGAGCGGCGGTGGTGGGGACGCCCTGGAGCAGCCGGCTGCAGCGAGCGGCGGTGGTGGGGACGCCCTGGAGCAGCCGGCTGCAGCGAGCGGCGGTGACTGGGTTGAAGTGATTGGTAAGCATGTCTCTCCCTTGCACACAGGTGCTTTCTCCTGGGGCAAGGGGGGATGGATCTGTGCACACAGGGGCAAGGGGGCTACTCAAACTGCCTCTTGAGAGCATGTTTCCCCAATACCGTGAGCATTATAGGATGTTCTCCCTTCCCCTGGGTGCCTTGGGAAGGCAGGAGGGTGTTGGGGGCTCAGACACCTCCTTTTCCAGGTCCTAAACTCCCACCTGCTGAAATGGCCGGCTTCATTGACCACCTGAGCCACCACATCTGCTGAGCAAGGCCCTGGTGCCAGTTGCTGAATGGCTGTTGGCAATGCTCAAGCTAGTGGGGTGGTCTTACTCAGGGAAGGTCAATCACCTCCCTCATCTGATCCACTCAGGTGAGTGCAGGGCAACGTGGAATCCGGCCCCAGTCTCTAGTGGCCAGAGGAGATGGTGTAGGCCCACTTGAGCATCGGGTTAGAGAGGAAAGCCATGCAGAACTGTGCTCCGTGTTCATGCAGGGACTGGAGTCAGGACTCCTGGCTCAAGTCCCAGTTCTCCAATAGTCACTCTGACCGTGGCCAATTCCCATCAACACTTTTTGCTTCCATGACTTTCCCCCTGGGGATAATCCTTAGACCCTCAACCCTTCCAGCCCAGTGGAGGCAAGTGTGGGAGATGCTTGGATGACAGGCCCCTAACCTATGCACCTCACCTCCCTCTTGAAGAGGACTCTGAGTGGCTGTGCACTTCCCAAGTGCCCACTAATGCAGCTTGTTCCCACACACTGGACTGACTGCCGGTGCTTTGTATTAATTTCTCTTGAAAGCACTAGTGACTCTGGTAAACTAGATGTGACTGTATCCAACCTGTTTAAAGCCCTAGTTCCCGAATGATCCATTGACCACCAGTGTCCTGCGGAGCACTGGTGGGTGGGCCGGCTGGCTGGTCACATGGTCCTAGGCCCTCCATTTCCACCTGCTAAGCTCTGTTAAAATGGCTAAATACATTGGACGCTCTGCGTGTAGATGCTAAAGCTGCTATTCCTTTACCAGCGGAAAGAGGCAGCCCAGTCAAATAGGCGAACAGGCTTCCAAGCAGCGCTCGAAGAATGGTCCATGCACCAAAGTTTGGAGATGCCTGGCTTAAAGGATTACAAAACACCAAGCCCAGGCTTACTACCACCTCTTGTTCCCATCAGCAACTGACTGCAACTCACCCTGTCTGAAGTTGACCAGGGCTGTTAGAACTTTGGTCCTATTGGCTCACCTGATTTGAGCTCTTCCATCTAGGGTATTGGTGAGAATCGGGACCTCCTGTGAGGTCACTTAACTTCCCCAGAGGGGTAGGCGTGTTAGTCTGAATCTGTAAAAAGTAACAGAGGGTCCTGTGGCACCTTTAAGGCTAAGGGAAGTATTGGGAGCATAAGCTTTCGTGGGTAAGAACCTCACTTCTTCAGATGCAAGTCACTTCTTGCATCT